GTTACTACAGTTCATCGTGTGCACCAGAAAGGTGTACAGTTGAATCTCTGATGAAGGACGCCTCCCATAGCCGGACACTACGTTTTGGTCCCAGCTACATACAAACTGTACGTTTTTAACGTCCCTAAGCGGACACCTCTCTCGGTCCCAGTCGCATACAACACTGCATTTTTTTTACCTCCCAAAGTAGACACCTCTTTTTGGGGAACACTTAGTAATGGTCCGAGTCACATACAAACACGCATTTTTTTTTTACCTCCCAAAGTGGACACCTCTTTTTGGGGGACACTTAGTAATGGTCACGGCCACATACAAACACGTATTTTTTTGTTTTTTTTTTTTTTACCTCCCAAAGCGGACACCTCTCTTGGGGGACAGTGATGGTCCCAGCCACACACAAACAGCTTATTTTTAACCTCCCTTAGCAGACACCTCTCTCAGGGGCGATTTTTTCTGGTCCCATTAGTGCTCGTTTCCGTAAGGTTTCACATTATTTTCAAAACACTTTCAAAAGGATCAGTTTGTTCTTGTGAATGTGGACGACAAAAAACGATAACGTAAGAATGTCTAAACTAAAGAACTGCCTTTGAAAAATAAACTGCACGGTGCATTTTAGTTATCGTGAAGCATTTAAGAGTGGACCAGGTGAAAAATATTTTTGAAAACAATGGTGGGGATGAAAAGCTAGTCTATCCTTAGACCATCTATTTTGTCTGTAATTCGTCGAGATCGCAAACAATTGTATTAACTGCAACAGGTTAACTGCAACAAACGCATGGCAGTGTCTCGCGCTCCATGCTCGCTCCTGCATGCTTGCATTGCTCGGGCTCTCGATGAAGAAGCTAGACGTTTGGATTACGCCTGCCCCACTAACCTGGCATAATATGGTGCTTGTTCACAGTGAAACTTGTTAAACTAGATAAACAATTATCCTAACTAATCAGTGTTAGGTCTGTATGTTCTTTGTTATTGAGCGGGCCATGTATCTTGGAAAATTAACCCAATTTTTTCAAGTTCGTCACGTGTGTTCTCTTAATCTTAATCCTTGTGGTCAACTATTTATTTATTGATTGGCGTCGTGCTACCGTAGTAAACTAACGATTTGAAGTCTTGACTCGGAAATATGGGAAATTCAGCCCCTTACACAGTGTAGCATCTACAGCGTTCTGTACGCATTGCGTATCTATGTTTTTGCGTCACAAGAACAAGGTTGGAACTTGCGCAATACAGACTGTTTTTGGTCTTCGACCCTTTCAAGGCCGAGTTCAAAATATTAACTCTCATTCGGATTGCCTCACATTTCTCTAAATAAAAGTTCTGAGAGTATGTCAAGATGACCTACCTTGATGTTTTCTATCTTTTCGTCATCTGTCTGCATAAGAATGCATCGATATGGTGTTGAGAAATGAGATTTTGATCAATAGGAAATGAAAGGGTAATAGACAAGTCGTTTTTAGCATAGTTTGAAAATTTTGGTGTGAGTGGACTGTTTTCAATAAAGTAAATGGTAATTGAAAGAATGCAAACAAATGTGTAGTTGTACTCAGAAATCTGGTCTTTTGTTTTCGGCTTGCCTTGAATAACATTTACTCTGTTTACAAAAACAGCTGAAGCCAAATAGGCCGGTTCGTGTTGCTCTCCACTTCAGGTTGATTTGACCTAAACTGCAGATGGAGCAGCCTGGGTTCAAGCCCCAACCGCTGGACTCCGCGCCGAAGAGATTGGACTTTAGATTGAGACCCGGGCATGAGTTCAACGGGTCTCTTGCCAAAAGCAGAAAATTGGTTCCGGCGACTTAACTAACATGGACTAAGAGACCGTTCATAAAGTAAACAAAGGGGTGACCTGGAGGAAAATTAAGCAATATTCAAAAAAATTTCCCTGCCCCCTTCCATGGACTGCAATTTTTTTTTAAGGCCCCCGAGTTTTCTTTACATATGTTTCCGAGCCCCTCCCTCCCCCTCCCCCCCGTCCCCTACCTTAACTTTTCCAAGAACCTTACTTACCAGGAAAAAACCGAATGTACCTTTTTATTATTATATGGAGAAGAGTGTTTTACTGGGAACTAAACCACTCGTAGATTCCATACG